AAAAAAAATGTTACTCCCAAGACAAGTCGCCATGTCCATCAGTGAGCCTCACATAGAGTCAAACAAGATGGACAACAAGTCTCACACACTCAACACTAATCCAAATTCAGCATAGGCAGTAAACCCAATGCCCAAGTCTTTGGTCTGTGTGATGCAACCAGAGTACTCAGGGAAAATTCACATATGCATGGAGAGAACATGCAAACTCTGCACAGACCTAAGCTCGGTGTTGAACCAACATCACTCTTGATGTAGGTCAACAGTACAACCAACTGTTCAACTATGAAACCTTGGTCAAACTATCAGATTGCCCCTCAAAAACTCTTAAAAGACTAAAACTATTAAATATATACTCGATAGAAAACTACTGAGACGAATTTTATCAATGGTCACATAAAGCAAAGACACTCGCATTTTGTGAAACTCTAATGTTCGGTGGTTTTATCTGATAAGAAGTCAACAAATACAGCCTGTAATGTGTAGTAGTAGTAGAAGAACTTGCATCACACCATGCATCAGTGAAGGCAACCATACTTCATCTACTATCCCATTCTACTACATTACAGTATTCTCATTTTTATTCTCAAGCCCTGTTTAAAATATTGAGTTTTCAAATCATGTTGTTGAACAGCCTACATAATGAAAAGTATCTCAGTATGAATAGGGGAAACATTGTGGTTTGCCTTTAAAAAGACCCTTAAACAAAGTTTTCTTCGTTTCTGAAGCCTTTATTTTCCCCAAAACATACAGGGTAATAAATCCCATACATCAACAAAACCGACAAAAGTTGTTAGAAGCCAGAGAGACAACTCTGACAGAACTCCATTACTGTACAAGTTTGGCTGGCAGTCTTTAAAAAGCAGATGTAAAACAAAACAAAACAAAAACGCTTTCATGTCACGTCTCTTTCACTGCTCAACATGAGACATGAGGGGGTTTAGTATAAACAGACTGGCTCCAGCCTCTGAAATGTCAAATGTGTACAAAACCAAACAAAGTCATCACCATGTGGTTGGACAAATTGAGATGGACATTTTAGACACATAAGAATCTGACATCAGAATCAGAATCAGAAAAAAGCGCTCCAGCGACCCAGAGCATAGGAACTTGACTCCGCAGTACAGCCTGACCAAGGTTACACACACACACGTAGACAGGACAGATACAGGCAGACCACGAGAGCAGCCATAACGGCGCTCACTTCAATTAGATGAAAGGGGATTACATGAGGATAAATTGGGGGAGTGAATAAAGGCATACCAGAGTTACTCCCGGTAAGGCGTAGCTTTACTATGCAAAAAAACGCCTCAAACATATAAGCACGAACATCAACAGTTCACAACATGAGACACCGAGAGCAAGGCGGGGGGGGGGATCCTGGATCCTGTTTCCCCTGCGAGAGCAGCCCTGTATGGCGCTCATCCACTGTAGCCACAAGTGGGAGGGTGATCTTGGGAGGAGCGCAGAGCACATTGACACCTGCAGGTTGATGACCTCCCCAGGCTGAAGTCCACCAATCGGGGGGGGGGGGGGGGGTCGGGTTTTCACAGCATCTGTCTGCATTCCTTCATGGGGGTTTGTTGTTGGCATTCACAAGGCTGCCAGAGTCGTCAGATTCGGACAACAAGTCTTTGTTTGGGTAAGGCAGAGATAATTTTCCTCTCTGCCTTCAAGTCTGTAACTGATCATTCAAGTCCTCCAGTGAAGCCAATTCAGGTTTTAAAGATCTCCACACCGTCCGGTGACCCTCTCCGAGATTACATCCATTTTGCGCACTAATACCGGTAACACAGCTAGAACGCTGTCCAGCTTACGATTCACCTTGAGTAACATCCCAGTCTGTACGGTCCAAACACGAACGGTGCTTTCCGTGGGTGCGGATCGCCCTCCAATCGCTCCCATCTTCCCAAATTTCCAGAAAACTAGATATCCTCCCACTCCAATCAGAGGAAATCCAGTGATAATCAGGCCAAACATCCACACATCTTCGACGTCCTCAATGGACAACTGGGAGAGGCATACGATCCTCCATTCTTTCCAGGAATCGAGCATATACCCCGCCGGGTGTGTCCCTTGCGGGCAAGTGGGAGCCCCCTGCTCCGTTCTCATTGTTGAAAAAATCTTTTCAATCGCGTTGAATGACCAATTAATTAAATCCATTTCTAAAAAATAGGGTTTTTCATTAGAAGTGCAGAGAGGCAGACAGGACAAAGAGCCTTGGGAAAAAAAGATAAGGGAGCAAAAAGGGAAGCGTCTGTACTCTGCGAGTGTAATCAAATTAGCATGTGCATGAATATGCAACAAAAAAGTAAAAAATACACTTGAGACTTTCCAGACTTCCATTTACCAGAGTCCAACATCCTGTAAAACACCGAGGGTGTTAGAGGGCATGCTGGACAGGGCACTAATCGTTATTTACCCAACACTCACATATGAATTCCTGTCCAATGGACAACGGTTAGCCAGTTGGCAGAGAGGACAAGAATCCTGTCACCTTCTGTCTGGACGTTAGTGTGACACTGACACACCATATCTGCCATATTCAACACTTCCAATCCAAATGCTTCTCCTGTTATGTCAGGGGTTTCATTTCTTCATGCTTCCATGCCTCTAAATCTCCCATTCACACACACAGACAATTAACAACCTGACCTACTGCACACACACACTGTCAGGACAAATGTTTCCAGAGCCAAACAGACTCACCATTAACTGGCGTAGGTTCTAATGACCTGGCAGGGGACTAATGGGCCTATTCAGGAACGTTAACACCTTAAGTAAGAAACCAGCTGCTGCCATCACAACTTGTTTGCTGGTATTTACAACTCTCCTCTGCCCTGCTTCTTGGTATTTATGTGAAAAACCAATAAAAAGGGGTCTTTAACTGAGAACTAAAGGTATATCTTGAACTAAACGTATATCTAGAACTAAAGGTATATCTTGAACTAAAGATATATCTAGAACTAAAGGTGTATCTAGAACTAAAGGTGTATCTAGAACTAAACATATATCTTGAACTAATCGTATATCATGAACTAAAGGTATATCTTGAACTAAAGGGTATATCTTGAACTAAAGGTATATCTTGAACTAAAGGTATATCTAGAACTAAAGGTATATCTTGAACTAAATATATATCTTGAACTGAAGGTATATCTAGAACTAAAGGTATATCTAGAACTAAAGGCATATCTAGAACTAAAGCATATATCTAGAACTACAAAAGAATTAATCATCAAGTTTAAAACTCAACACAAACAAAAAATGTCAACATTTGTTCTAAAGGGTGCTTAAGTGCACTAATAAGCTATGCTGAAAACTATTTCTCAGTAAATATATTGTGTTGCTATTCAGTACATTTGAACTATTCTGTCATTTGGGTTCTTGAACTCAAAATGTTTTAGATTTGTTGCCAACACCTGCTCTGGTGTCTGATATGACACTTTTTGCTAAATACGCCTGGGTCCCAACAGCTGCTTCCTTGTCTACTCTTCAATCCAAGAGTTTCCAATCAATAATGAGAAAGAATCTGGTCTCCACTGTCATCTTTGCTGTGTAACTGTCTGTGAAGTGTAAACTGTAATCAGTCACACTGGCATCATGACTACATTTTGCAATACTCAACATGCTAAATAGTCTCCTGTGCACGCTACGCTTTCCATGCTGGCATTCTTGCAAAAATTAAACTGGTGGGAAACTATGTGATTGATTCCACTGAAACCAAAACGTGTGTGAAATGCCCGAAGCTGAACTTTGCAGCAATATGTCACAGTTTCTCCAAAAATAAACAAGAATCAAGCAACAACGTTGTCATGCTCCCCCCACTCCTGTCCAAAGGAGGCGTTCACTGATGCTACGCATGTCTAGCTTCTGGACATTGGGCAGCCTTTAACTGTGATTTAGGGAGTTACAGGTGCCAAGTTTGCAAGTGAACCTTGCTAATGTGAGAACGATGAAACCGGCTGGTGCAGCTCTGTGGAGGCTTTTGCACACCCTGAGTCAAAATGGCAACATCACAGCATCTTCCCCCTTTCTTTTTCTGGGAGGGGGGTTATCTTTAAAAGAGAGCATTGACGGGGGTTCTTTCAAGCATGTTAACGTCGCCTGTAAATGTAAAAATTACACTTTTTGGTTTGGAGTGAGCCCCTGCGGTTTAACCGTTGTTTTTGGGGCCAGCGATGCAGCTGAGGACAACACCTGGAATCCTTCAGCAGCACCAGCGACCTCTGATGAAAAACAAATGTCAACGCTACCCCCCCCCCCCCCCCCCCCCCCTGCAGCACCAGGCTGTGTTTTCTCTGGCTGGGATGAAATAATGGCTACTGCCAGATCCACTGACTCTTGACCCATTTTTGTACGGGTCAGGGAAGGTCATGAGATTTTGTGGGAACTCCAATAATATTTGCCAGGAAAAATTAGTAATGATGAATTAACACACATGATCATATATATAATGATCATTATGATGTTTTCACACATGACATCACTTTGAGAGTTCCAAATTAACTTCCTATTATTATTATTATTGAAAAATGTTGTCAAATCACATTTTGTATAAAATTCCACAATTTTAAGATTAAAATCCTACACTTTTTGCATTTACTTTAATTTATGATGTATTTAAAATAATTTATAATTAAATTAATTAAATAAAATTTTATGTAAACATATCTAAACATATTTATTCATGTTTTTCTTTTTTTAATTATTATTATTATTTTTTATTTGTAAAGTTTTTAACTGATGCTGTAAAGTTTCATGGCTCCACAGCGCTGAAACGTCACCTGCCAGTAAATAGACGGCACCACTGTGCGTTTTCGGAGCGCTTCTCGTGTTATTACGCTGTTGTCATTAATATACAGTTTTGACTTCCCAAATGAGGTTCATCAAGACAAACTGGGGCTGCCAAGGTAATGCTGACGTATTTTATTCATTTTTTTTTTTTTTTTTTTTTTTTACCGCACAGCAGAATGAATGGATTGGGGGAAGCCGCTACCTACCCTGGAGATGGTTAACGGTGTGCTGAAGTCCCTTCCTCCCACCAGTCGGAAGCCCCACGGGGAGGGTCCTCTCAGAGTCACGGTCTGCGGCATGATCGGTAAGTGGACAGAAAACACGCAAATGAGACGCAAACAGGAAAAAGGTCCGCTGTTCCAGAGGGTTAGAGGGGGTGGACGTTTACTAGTCTGGATCCTCCTCCCGGGGTTGCTGCTGGGCAACGCGGTCCCGTCTCTGAAAACGCTGCTCCTCTCCGCTTGGTTCAAGTTTAAGTAACTGAGCAGTCTCTGACGTCGGAGGACGGGATGATCCGCCCGCCTTCAGAGGGGGGAGCTCGGTTAGCCAGTAGCGGTTCAGGATATTATTGGTTTAAAACGTTGGTTTTAGCCTTTTACCACCTGCGCGTATTATCAGTTCCACGTGCGTAGTACCCACACTTACATGCGACAGGAACAATTTTCTGCAAGTCATCGACCTTCTGGGGCACCTGTTCCAGGTGCTTGACTGGATAAAATCTGCGCTAACACGCGCAAGGTGCTTTTTCGCGCTCACGGATAGTTTAAAACATGCGCGGAGGGCTTTTTTTTTTAGCGTCAGTGGATGGGAACTTATCCTCTCTCACGGATGTTGAATATCTACTCGTGATTGTGCGTGCTCAAGCGAGACCTTATTGACATAAAATTGAGTCCATAATCTTGCTGTTAGCTAGTCTGGGGCAAGATGTCCAAATATCAGGAAAAATGACTTCAAAACCTGCTGTCTGAAGCAGGGGGGCTGCCAGAGATTTTGGGCCCCATGAAAAAATGTCAAGTTGGGCCCCCTGGGGGCTCGTCCATAGCTGGACCTGGGGTTCCACCCTCCCAGATTCGAAGGGAGAAAAAAAATACAATATATATACTTTATATTAGTGTTTCAGTTTTGCTTAATTATGTAGGTCTACATGCATTCTTACTTATTTACATATCATTTTCACCAGCTCATTCATTAGTCTCATTAAACAGTAAATTTCCTTCAACAGAATTAGCTGTATCACTGCTGAAAAAAGCAGGAAATGCACATGCTGAAAGGTGTTAATCACCTTTTCCCTTTTACTCCCTTAAAATGTATTTATTTATTCTAAGATTTTATTTGATGATAAAATTCAAATTTGGATATCTAATTAAATTTCCACGTTGTGTCAAAGCTTTGCATAACTACATTTTCAGCTGTCTTTCCTCTTGAAATCAAGTATTTCTGTATGACTGACAAAAATTAAGGATTCACTGCTCACAAGGTGACTTCTTTATTAAGTCTCCGTGGCTTCATCATAGACACAAAATGAATAAGCACACAGTTCAAACCGGTGCCCCTGGTAGGGGTCAGTTAGGGTTACATAAAATGTTAAAGTTGGACAACTTTGCATGAACACGTATATAAGTCTCTAGAAACCCATTTTTCTCAACAACAAAAAACAGCTAAAGATATATTCAGCCTTGATTGTACACAGCAAGATTTATTATTTACAGTGATATAATGAATAATGTTCGATAACGATCAATACTAGATTTCATATTTTATTGTGTTCAATGTTATATTAAGTTTATTTATTACAGTTATTAATAGCTTTTGTTTCAGTTTTGCTCTCTGATGAATTATTTGGAAATGACTGATTTTTAGTTTGTGTTCTAAAAGCTACATAAACAAATTACATCTTGTAAAACCTCCCATAATTCAGTCAGATTTGAAACATTTCACTTCAAGGTATTTCGTAGATGAAGAGGTTTTTTTTTCTTGTATGGTGCCTTCAAAAAAGTGCTTCACAGTAATAATCTCACAGTAATTTATGTTACATTAACAGACTAAATAACAATGCTTCAACCTGCCCAGCATCCAAAACAATCTATACATTTTAACTGATTGATATTCATAATATGTGGAAAAACAATGTGTTTATCACCAAAAATAGCCTTTTTATATTCCTTTGTAATAGTACTGATAGAGAAGAGAGCCTTAAGTGATTCCCACAGACCCCCTTAAAGAGGCTGCTAGCTAACATGCTACATTGCTCACCTTCTTGAGGTTCATTGGGTTGTGAGGGGACACCTGCTGACATATCACCAGCTGCTGATTCTGGTAGGGACAAGGACAACAACCCATTTACCATAGTTAGATGAAACATAGTTCCTCTCACTGTGGATATCAGAGCTAGCAAACAGGTTGAATTTAACCACTCACTAACTAAACCCACCTTTCTTTGAGAAAAACTGTGTGACATACTGACGCCCTCTCTTCTGCCTGTCCTCTTTCTCGTTTCTTTCTTTCCTTTTCTGTGACCCAGACTTTGTTTTTGCAGACATATTTCTACTGCAGGCTTGACGCACTCTGCTGTCTGACTGCTGCGTGAGCTGGCCTCGCCTGCTACGCGCCCCCCTGGCCAAGTGGACTGTACCATTTTATGCCGTTGTGGGGGGTTGAAATTAATTGGTCAAAATAAAGTAGGGACCTCTGAATAACTACACATTTCATTAAGACTAAAAGACTGTTTAATGTCTTAAATGAGAAAAAATACTGCAAAGTAAAGTAATTGTGATTTTTAAACAATTTTTTTTATTCGACTTTGAAACATCTTTGGGCCCCTGACAGCTGTGGGCCCTTAGAATATTCCTAATCTTTCACCGCTTTAAAGCGCCCCTAGTCTGAAGGTTAGCTGTGATGTGGGAAACGTAACCATCCGAGCAAGGCCGGATTAACCATATGGGCAACTGGGCAATTGCCCAGGGCCCACAAACTCTAAAGGGCCCAGGGCAGCAAGGGCACGAGCAAATTACTGTATCTGTAATCTCCCGCTTTATATTAAACTAGTGTGACCGTACGTCCTGTTTTCCCCAGACATGTCCGCTTTTCACTCTGTCCAGGCGTCCGGAGGGGTTCTTGTATTGATGAAAATGTCCGGCTTTTCATCCAGGAGCAGGGATGGGGGAGCTGTATATCCTACACATCCAGGGGAGCCGGGAAAAAGTTTTCTACCTATATTACTATATTATCATTCATGGACTCTTTTCAGCAGAGAGCGGCAGAGCATGATCGGTGCACAGCGCTCCAGGCTGCTGCGTCCAGCGCACGGTCCATTCTCAAAGTGGCACAACCAAAAAACTATGATTAACACAAGATCGTTCATGTCCGCACATGTTCTCTATTTTCTGTCTTATTTGTGCCTGAAGCGCGCTGCCACTGCGGAGCTCATCGAAACGCGCTCTCCGCTTTGCGGTCAGGAGATCCCTTTGATCTGCTCAAAAGTAACCGATGAGGTGAAAAAGTAAGAATCCAGGCAGCAGTTTTTCAGGAGAGTTTAGAGGCGATGCAGGAAGAAGAGAGACAGACAGGACAGGAAAGTATAGTTAAATAAAAACAAGAAAACAAAACAAAGTGTTGAAAAGTAAAATGTACGTAGTTTTATCTCCACTACACGTTTTTACCTGCAAAACAATAAGTTATACACATGTAATATTTATACATCTGTTACAATTCAGATCACCTTCAAAACTCAGTCACACACCCAGGGCCGTTTCAAGACATTTTGGGGGCCAAGGCAAAATGACCCCCCACAACCCCCACCACCCCCATAGCTGGGCTCCCCAGAAGCCTCTGTGTAATTCATACCCTCTCCAGGAGTATTAGTTATGCAGTGTTTATAAAAGCCCCTCAGACATTACTGACATGTTCTAATATTATCAGATGAAAAACTAAATTATCAGACATGCTGTCTCATCTGCTGCTTTTCTAAACTTGCAAAAAGTAACAAAACCATTTGAAAGCCACTATTTGAGGATTCTCTGAAAGTTTCCAGTGTGACAATTTATTTTTTCATTGATCCTATAGTCTAATCTCACAGCTGAAACAAGCATCCTTGATAATCTGTGCACAGGAAGCTTACCGATGCTGTAGTAAAACAAAAGTTATAATTTATTATTAATAAAACCTTGTTGCAGCACTAAAGCAGAAAAATGAGATTTTGCAGTAAATATGCTAAGTATTTATTGTTTTAGAGCCCTTTTATTGGCAGAATCTGATATTAATTTAGTTCTTACAAAAAAAATGGGTCCCAGCGTGGATTGTGTGGTGTTGCCATAGTGTGATGTCATAGGCACAGATCCCCTGCCCTCTTTTTTGGAAATGGAAATATGATCACCCTATATTAAACAAACTGTCCACCCGGGCTTTTGCGCTGCACAGAGACGATTCGCTGCCAATGACTTTGAACGTCAGTTGAGAGTCAGTCTCTTGCAGACTGACCAATGAAGAGAGGGCCTCAAATTAAGACTCTCTCCTCATTGGTCAGTCCACACAAGTGGGTCAAAGGTTACCCTGAGCGGGTTACGTGATGTCAGGCATTCAAGTATTGAGTATATTTACTGCATATTACAGTAATATATTCTGTTTGTGACCATATTATGGTGATCCTTGGGTCGTGATGATGGGGCCCTTGAATATTGTTGCCCAGGGTACAACGAAGTCTTAATCTGGCCCTGCGTCCGAGAAATGCACCAGTATAGTTCCTTCTCCCCCCAAGAACGACCTACAAGGCACTCCTTCCTACTAGAGACAACTGCAAATGTACAGGTGTTGATTAAACAAGTGAACCATTCCTTTAAGTGAAAATATATCTGTCAGGCTTTTCATATCCTAGCATTTCAGTGTCTATTTTCTATCAGAAGCTAATGCAGGAGATAGATGTAGGAGACTATTTACATGTTCAGCCTGCATGACATCAGTGACTGATTAAAATCCAAAATAGTGATTAAAGTGTTTTTTTTTTTTGGTGAATTGCCACTTTTAACTGTTTCAATCATCAGACAAGCAGCTGACTCTAAAACAAAATGGGATTCAGAAGGGGACTTACTCAATCTAATCTTCTCTAGGAGTTTAGGGCTGCATTTACAATGAAATTCAGCAAAGAACTAAGAGCTCAGAGTCTTAACGTGAAAAGCCATAAGGCATGTGAAGGACAGAACAAAAATGAAGATGTTGGATACCTCACTGGCAGAAAAGACCCCTCCCATTCAGTTAGGAGATATCCCAGTAACCTCTTTGCTTCACTTCTTGATTCTTTCATTTCCCCTGCCAATTACTGAGTGAGTCACAGAGCCTGGGTCGTGTTTTTTTTCTACTGCTGAGAGAATGATCTCATCGACATTCCATGGTATGTTCTCTTTAAAAGACTGCACACATGTGAATATCTGTCTGAAAATCTGAGTCACTTTGAATCATACACTACAAAAGAAGCCCAAATGTTAGCT